ATTGACTTCTTTTTTGTTTGCTGTGTTTTCTTTTTGTAACCCCGTCCTCCTGTGGCTACAGAATGACACAAATAGGAAGCACTATATCAGGAGTAACAGGCCTGCGGTCAGTCTGGTGGACGCTTGTGATGTAAAGCCCCAGCCTGTTGACTCCTGGGTCTAAATGCATGCATGGTAGGTCTGACCAAATAAAAGCACAACAAAATAACAACCTTCACCTTTTGTGTTGCATCCCAGCATCCTTTTCATTCCTTGTTTGTTCATCCTTTCCCCTGTTTCTACCTCTCACTCCATCACCCTGCACCTTGACATGTTCATCAATCACTTGCCGATCAATTGAATGTACCAATGTTTCAAACAATCAGACAAACAAACCACATCGATAATATAACCTCAAGTAACTCAAACTAATTATAGGGCTCAAAGCTAAAAGGCTTAGTTCACGGCATAACATTTCCAATCATTGTCTTAATGTATTGTAACTAGGGCCGAGACTTTAACGCGTTAATTAAGATTAATTAATTACACAAAAATTAACGCGTTAAAAAAATTAACGCATTTTAATCGCACTTATTTTTGCACCGCGGAACGTTTCTCACTGGATGAGTTTCAGGCGTACCGATTATACTGGAGCACCAACTAACGTTCATGACTTCAGACAACAACAAACCAAAGTGAACAACAGTGGGAAATGTTCTTTTAAAAAACGGACGGATGGAAGCGTCGATAAGAGCACGGTTGTGTGCAAATTATGCAAAAAGGAATTCGCATATCACCGCAGCACATCAAGCCTCAAGTATCACCTCAATGCAAAACATATAGCAGCTAGCGTGGAAGCTAGCGTGGACGTTAGCCTCTTTTATCGCGTTCACACCAAAAAGAGCCGGGTACTAAAATTAGTTCATGAGAACCTTTTTACCCCCACGAAAGTCCCTGCTAGAGAGCAGAGAGCTACTAGAGAGCAGGGACTTTCGAGCGGCTCTCTTGTGAGAAAAGAGCTATATTTCTGATTGGCTGGGCGGATTGCAAACCACGCCCCGTAAAACTCCCAAAAAGTTTTGTGAAGCCGCCATTTTATTATCCTCGCATTAGCATTATTAGCATTAGCCCAGCGCAGAAACGCAGAGAGACTAACTTATGGCAACACAAATAAAACATGGGAGCGGTGGAGATGAGGAGGGTGTCGGCGTTCTGGCGATTTACTCGGAAGGCTTCAGTAGAAGCTGCTGGGAGTCCCAGCAGCTTTTACTGAAGCCAGTCCCCAACTCCGGGGACTTCCGGCCGGGGACTTTGGGCGGCAGTATACGCCGTGAAGTGGTTTGCGGCCTGCCAGTAAACCCAAAGCAGAAGAAGAAGAAGTGACGTCAGCGGCTTAATTTGCCTAATCCTCCCCCAGGTTCAAAGAGTTCTCATGAACTAAGTTCTCATGAACCTTTGTGGGAAAAGTACTGCGGTGTGAATGCGCCTAATGGTATACTAAAATCCATGTGAAAAAAATTGCTTCTCACTGTTCTTAGGTCAAATATTTATATGTGATTAAAAATGCGATTAATTTCGATTAATTAATTACAAAGCCTCTAATTAATTAGATTATTTTTTTTAATCGAGTCCCGGCCCTAATTGTAACATTAGAAGTGAAAATATACAGTGAAAAATGTCCAACATGAACGTAAACAAGGCAGGATTATATAACAAAATAGTAACAATAACGTTTGCCCTTTTACTTACCTGTATGTTTTAATTGGAGCTAGCCTGATTATCAGCTCATGAAATGATATAAGATAACGTACGATAAACCTTTATTCATCCCCTTATCGTAAACTGCCTCATGTCACATGTGAGAACAGAAAGTAAATAAGGTGGGCGGGGCTTAGATAATGGACCTGTTATATTCTGACAATTGCATAAAAATCCAATTCTTATTTTAGCACTTTAACAGAAAATTGGTAGCAAGTGATGAAGGGGAATCATTTCTCTGCACTTCAGACGGATCCTCTGGGACTCAGCTATCCCTTAATGAAAAGCAGGAAGGAGAAAGAAAAAGATTTGCACAGATACACACACACATACAGTACACACACACACACACACACACACACACACACACACACACACACACACACATACAGTACACACACACACACACACACACACACATACAGTACACACACACACACACACACACACACACAGTACACACACACACACACACACACACACACACACACACACACACACACATACAGTACACACACACACACACACACACACACACACACACACCCCGACAGACTCTGCAGGTCTCCCTTGAAAAAGAGATCATTGATCTCAATGGGATTTTACCTGGATAAATAAAGGTTTTGAATTGAATTGAGAACCTCCTCCTCTCCACATTCGACTCACACGCGACGCAAGATATCTTCTGATAAATAATTCATGTGCGCCGATGATTTGATGATGGAAGCCAACTCATATCATGCACACACACACACACACACACATTATCGCCACATTATAATGCGTCCGAGTTAGAGAGGTAATGAAGGGTGAGCTCACATCATTCCAGTTACATACAGTTCTGCTCTGAAGTAGTTGATTTGAATATTTCTCGTTAGCATTCATGGTATGAATGATTGCTAAGTAGCTTCTTATGTAACAGAGATGGGAATATTTCCATATAAGAAACAGAAGACAGAAAAACAGCCTCTCTTTTTGTTGAGGTTTTCTGAAATGTATTTTTTCAGTCAAGAGAATAAAATGTATTTCAGCAGAAAGATGTATTCAGTGTTAGTAATTAGGATTACAATTAAAACCACTTCCATCTAATGAAGGATTTGTGTGAGAAATACTATTTTGTTAGAACATCCTCAAGACTAACTGAATTTCATTTATTTCAAAAATGTCTTTTTTTATGTCCATGCATCTTAGTTGTTGGCCAAAAGGAAATCTAAACTAGTAATGCAATTAAACCTTAACATGATAAATGTATGGTGCATTGTTGACGGTTTGCCATACCGTTTTTGACTAAACTCCAAAACGAACCCACTATGTAATGTCCCACTGAGTGACTTGATCTGGCTGAGCTTCAATATTCTCATGTCTCCAGCAGCAGCATTGATCTCCTCCTCACTGCTGCCTTCCTCCTCCTCACCCCTCATGTCCTATCTCTCAATGGCCATCAGATCAACTCCTTCACCTCCATTCATTGTATTATCACATCACATGGTGGCTCTTTAGAGAGACAGATGTATGGTGTGCGTCTGTAATACAAATACATGTTGCTAATGATACGAATGAATCATCAGGTGAGTTTTCCACTCCATCGAGCACATGCAGGATTTCACCCGGCACATTAAGCATCTGTTTCTCTGTCTCCTGCCTCCATTTGCCATCTGGACTGACACCATCGAAGCATTTGTCTACAGTGATTTGATTTGTCAAGTACTGAGATAATGCCCACTGATTTATTGCTGTCTGCCATAAGAGCACAACTGAAGAGTTTCACTCTAAATTCACATCCATTGATTTTACAATGCTCATAAAAGATACATTTGAGTCTGACATGGTTAAGGAAAATACTTTTGATAAGCTGTATTTGTCCTATTCTCAACAAATCCAATGTAAAGACCAACAACACATATTTTCTGTGAAGCAAAGCCTGATATATCTGTACCATAGAGGTCCAATTGCAAGCATGCCAACTGTGTCTTATTGTGCAGCTCTGAGTCAACTAAAAAACACAGCATATACAGTATGTTAAACATGTAGATTTCATTTGGCCACTTGGGGGCAGCGCAACAAGCTACAGTCTAAAGGCAAACCCATGGCACAATAATATATATATATATTTTTTTTTAATTTATTCTACTAAAATCATCGAAAGCAAAAACGTATAATTCATACACACAAATGAACAAGATTAGTAGAAGCGGGAGGGCTGAAGCATAGCTTATGGGGAGTAGCCCTCCCGTGCATCATCATTAGCATCAATATAATAATGGCACTTATTTCGTCAAAAACGTATAGAAATTAAGGAGTACAAAGAAATAAAGAAAACTAATGAAAACTGGAAGAAAAAAAAGTTAGGGCAAGGACAGTTAGGACAATAATATATCACTTTAAAGTCGGCCAATAATCCAAAACAAGCTGACTATCACCTTGGTCATATTGCGGCTGTAGTCAGTTGCCGTGCTAATGTGTTAGCCAATTAACACAGCAAATGTAACATTAAGATAAAGTTGTTTTTTTGGTCTCCGGGTGATTTTAAATCAAATATTCAGTCTCTCTTTATCCTCAATTTCATCTACCAAGAAGGAGAAATATCTGTCTCTTTTGCTGCTTAACTTTCCACTCTAGTATTTATACATTGATTAGTTCAGATTTAAAGATTGACATCTTCAGTAGGAATGTGCTTTGTGGTGAGCTCCACAGCCAGGGTAGGGAAGTCTTTACATTACGATTGAAATACTCTTTTTATTGAGATGTGTTGACAGTAAGGAAAAGCAGAGATTAGATGTAGCTCATTCTATCAATGTATAGTAATGCAGTTATTATTTGTCGTCATTTTGCAGCCATTTGGACTGAAACTCTTCACTTGTTGTTGTGTTCAACTGTTTGAGTGAGTGTTCTAATATTCTTCTCTCTTGTCCACGTGCTCCAGGCTTAAAGTAAGGACGGTGCGACACCCAGCTAGAGGAGATCTCTCTCATCACCACTGCCATTTCACATGGAGCTCATCTTTGGAGTTGGACTTTGTACAGTAAAAGAGGATTTAAAAAATGAATACATACATAATGACCACAACAGCAACTACCCAGCAGGAGCAGCCAGCATTCTCGTGCTTTTCAGAAAAAAGGAATCAACAAAAAAAAGTGACTACAGCTATTTCTTTCTCATATCTACATTCCCACATGTTACAGTGTTGACTCTTGATGAGCTCTACCGAGGATAAGAAACGGACAGAGGCCGGTGCTGGTGGAGGAACGAAGGATCGATGGAAAGGAAAAAGAAAGTGTTGAAGGAAGGGAGAAGAAACGCCAAATGATTATTTTTTTGGGAAGAAAAATAAGTTCAATTTTATGGGTTTTTGGGACTTTCGGTGTGATGTCAAGCTTTTGGGTGTGAAGAGGAGTGGACGGGTGTCTTTGAAGGTCACAGGATGTTGGTTTTAAGATTGTTGGGAGAAAGTAAAAGGAGATCCTGAGAAGAGACGTAGCGTAGCAGATAAACATGTTCACACAGACTTACAATCCATGGGCCGTTTCTCAATCGCGAGGATGCTTGCTTGGTAGCACATGTCTTCCGAGTCACTTGCTTCAGAAGCTAGGCAAGAATCCTTCCTGGCATTCGGAAAACGAAGAGTGGAACAGGCTAGCAAGTGTGCAGGTGTGCGTCATATGAGAGGCCCCGCCTTACATTTTCCACCACAGATTTGGGGAAATTGGTCCGTGCGCAAAGCATTGTGGGGATTTGAAGGACGCGAAGTCTACTCATGTGCAGCCTCGAAATTACCCCCAAACCAAGGACGCGGCCTCGGTGGAATTCCAAGTATGCTGGAGATTGGAACAGTACTTCGGCGGCACTCGATGATGTAGCATCCTTGAAATATTGGCTTGGAAGCCAGTTTCCTCGAGATTGAGAAACGGCCATGGTGTTTATTTAAAAGAGAAGAAGAAGAAGTGCATTGAGATGCTCTGAAATCTAAAGAGGATAACAGTGAAGCTCATTTATGAAGTCAAGAGTCTGCAAGTCTGGAGAAAGGAAAGTGACATAGTGTGTTGGAGAAACGGTTTCTGTTCACACTGCATCGCAAAAGTCCGCTTAAACGGAAACAACAACAATGTGGTTACTTGTGTAATCTTCCAGGCTGGTCGCTCGTTGTCAATGATGTGTATTAAAGAGGATTTGAGGCATTTTGTTTATAAATGATTTGTGTTTTCTGAAAAAGAGAGGCGAGTGACGATTGTTCTCTTGTAGAAAGGATAGATTTAAAAGCGGTTTTTCGGTTGGGTTTTATATAAATGTATATTAGGGTCAAAAGGAAAAACGAAGGAGAAAAAAAATCTTAGTTGTATATTAATATCACATTGTTTGGAAAGCACATTTCATTTGGTAAAGGCTCACAATGTTTGTAAAACCGAAATAACAACATTACTTAAATGTGTGTCGAGTTACGCCGATGATCACCTATTTATATTTTGTATTTGTCAAAAAAATTACAGAAAAAAAGGTTTAACAGTGTTCTTTCTAAAGGCGATGAGTTACATGTCCGCTGCATCTTCAACCCAAGGGGTCAGAGGTCAGACAAGGAGACAGACGAGAGTGTTAATAAGAGTTGTTTCATTTTTCTTCCCGATGCTTTCAGACCAAGTTACCGCAACACCCTTAACCCTCCTTCACCGGTGCATCTAAAAGATTCAGTTGTGAGCATGAAGAAAACTGTACAGATGTTTATATTCTATTCTTTCAAAGTGCCAGTTTTTGTGTGGAGTCATTTGGATATTCATTCATGTGCAAGAAGAGAGAAAAGGAGGACGAGTGTATCTGGAAGACAAAATATAAAAAATGGCATCACACTGTACAAATCAAAACATCAAGTTTGGTCATATAGTATATATTTTTACAACGTTTAAGGGTGGGTTAGCGAGACGAAGCAAAGCAGAGGGATACAGAATCATATTGCCATTTTTCTCTTGCTTGGTGAGACTGTTTACTGAATCCAGTGAAAATGTGTACAGTCTGTTTTCCAGGAAGAGAATCCACTCATCAAGGCGAATGGCATGTGCCTGCATTGACTTTTCTTTGTGGCGTATGTGACTTTATCAAGCTTGCATATTTTACACAGTGTTTACAAAGATGTATGTTGTGGTAAAAATCAATAAACTACAAAAAAATACGTATATTGTATACATTTTAATTACCGAGGTTAAAAAAAAAAAGTTATAATACCCAGCATCCCTTTTGTGTGTCCTCAGAAGTGTGTGCTTTCATTGGACCATACTGAACCCTTTGCCACATATGACTTGTCTGTTCCTGACTGCACTTTGCAGCACCACAACCAAAGGATCTGGTGGTTACATGCATTTATAAAAACAAAAAGGGGGTTTTGTGAATGTGCGTTGTACATTTACAAAATAAAAGAGCCAAGCAACTGTGCTGTAAAATAAATGCAGGACAGGGTCACACGTCGAATCAAATGAACCTACCTGTGTAGATATATCTGATTCAAGACTGTCAAAATAAAGAACTACTCAGTAGCAGATGTGTTTGTACCTATCATGTGCCTTAACCTTTTCCATGCTAGATAAGTGTGTTTTATATCCCTCCCTTTCCACTGTCATCTCTCCATTCTGTCCGTTCACCTCCCCCTCTCTCCCCTTTTCCTCCAATCAACTCATTCATTCATCCTGCCCCCTCCCCGACCCCAAGTAGTTAGACTGTTGGTGGGTTTCTGCCTTGTGTTACATTGTATTATAAACTTTTAAAAAGATAGAGTCATTACAAATAATGGTTTTGATTTCCTAGAGGAGTAAAGTTGTTGATGCTTTCGTAGCGAGCAGAAGCGATGCCGCAGTGACAGAATGTATTATGTTAATTTTACTAATACCCAGAGGCAAATATTACGCTTGTTAAACATAACGGAAAAATACTGGTTTGTAGAGTATACATTTGGTGTGTTTTCAATAAATCATGCCTGGAAAGAATGTGTTGCTTGACTATGTGTCTTATTTATTGTGTTATTATTTTCCAGTAAGTCTCAAGCTTTAAAGTCACAACAGCACCCCTAGAGGCTGCTATGCTCATTACAACAATCATCAGCAGGTCTCCCTTGAAAAAGAGATCTATGATCTCAATGGGACCAATCTCGTTAAATAAAGGTTTGAAATTAAATGAAAACAACCCATTCCAGAGATTGGTAAATTCACCAAAATGACTAAAATGGGATTTATTCTACATTGACAAAACGTTTACCCGCAAGGGAACAGTCTGAATTTAAGTCAGGATTGTGTGTTATCCCAAATGAGGAGGACACTGTTTCTGGAAAAAGATTACCACTATCAAATAAGTGAAATGTATTTTGTATTTTAATAAAAGCAAATATTGTAATATAGTTAACCATCCGTCTTCACTTTTCAGTGAAGGTGGAAATTAGAAACTAACCTAAGGATTTAGGTTAGCTTCCATATACAATTGTTTAAAACTAAATAATACATGCAATCTTTCTTGTTGACAACAATGTTCCTCAATTATCTTATGTTGTTTTTTGGTCTGCCACACTAGAGGTATTGTGGGTTTGAATAGGTCAAGTAATCGACTTAACACTACAGAATTACCCTTGAAAAAGCCTCTAGATTCCCTCCAGCTCCTCCAGCCTTGCTGCACAAGAACATGAACTTCCACAGGTGTATGTTAATATCCTTCTTAATTTCCCCATATCGGCATACTTTATAATATAACTTTACATTAAGGGGGTGTTATCTTATTTACCATAAAGTATATATCAGATACTGACAGATTTGTTTTGGCTATTGCAAAGTACAATTTGTACTCGATTGTGGAGCCTACGACACATTTATATTCAGGCATTTCTCTGGGCAGCACACACCGACCGGGGTCCTTTCACAATAACAACATGGCGGCGCTCAGTAGATGCAGACACCGGTGGAAGAGGAATAACTGTTTACACGTTTTAACTAGAAACCTGACAGGTATGTAACGATATGCTGTTGTGTAGTTAAGAAGTAGGGAATTGTCTCAGGTTAATAGATAATACAAATACAAAGTAAAACGGCCAAACCGTTCATTTACAAAGCAGCAGCGCTGATGTAACTTGTGCTCGATGCACTTGTTCATGTAACCCTGGAAATAACTGTCACCTTCACCTGGTTTCCTTGGTTACCCAGACCTTCCACCTTCTTAAAGGTAGACTACATAAAACACATCTCTAATGGCCGCTTGGTTTAATGTTTGTATTGGCCTTATTCACCAGTACGAGTCCTCACACACTGAACTGGTTAGTGACCAGCAGCTTCTCCACACCTGGAGAAAAAGTCACAACACTTTACTTATTTTCTGTGTTGAACTCTGTGTCAAGATACCATTGTATTAAGTAGAACGTAACTCAGTCGTTTACTGGAGTATTCTACATCTACATAATACAACATGAGGCACTTCTACTCCACTACATCTCCAAGGCAAATAGTCTACCTCCATTATCGTTAGTTCAACAATACAAACATTTATAATTATATCACTATATTATAATAAGCCTTTATTGGTCTAGTGGGGATTTAAAGGGCTACACAGCAATATAAAAACAATTTAATTGATTTAAATGAGCTCCACATCTACAAGCTGCAACATAAAGCAATGACCAGTGTACATTACATTACATTACATTTAGCTGCTTTATCCAAAGCGACTTACAGTAAGTACATTCGACCAGGAAGATAGAAACTAGAAGAAAACAGAATCATATAAGTACATCAGGTTTCATAGAGCCAACACATTTCAAGTGCTACTCAACTGGCTTTAGGTAAGCCAGTCCTTTGTTAGTATATAAGTGCTTTGTTAGCAATTCTATCGCTCGAAGTGGAGTCGAAAGAGATGAGTTTTCAGTCTGCGCCGGAAGATGTCTAAGCTTTCTGCTTTCATTTTCACTAATCTAATATAAATGTGTGTGTCTGTGTAAAACATGAATTACTTAAAGGTATATAAATGCAGCTCTGTCTACTATTCATCCTCCAATATGCTCCTACAGGGAAGTATGACTACGACCTGGTGGTCATTGGAGGCGGCTCAGGAGGGCTCGCCTGTTCCAAAGAAGGTGAGATCCTTTAAAGTGCCTGTTATTCCTTCATGTGTGGGATGTATGCTTTTGCAAATCTCATAATACGCTAACAATATATCTATATTTACAGCGGCACAGTTGGGACAGAAGGTTGCTGTTTTAGATTATGTGGAGCCAACTGCTAAAGGTAAAAAACCTGTCATTTCTGAACCTGTTAATTACAAAAAGGCTACGTGTTTGTCAAACATATACGGTACCAGTCAAAAGTGTGGACACACCTTCTCATTCGAAGGGTTTTATTTAATGATGTTCTACATTGTAGATTAATACTGAAGACATCAAAACTATAAAAGAACACATATGGAATTATCTAGTACACAAAAAAGTGTCCAGAATGTATTTATATTTTAGATTCTTCAAGTCAGCTTCATGAGGTATGTGTTCTTTCATAGTTTTGATGTATTCAGTCTTAATCTACAATGTAGAAACTAATTTAAAAAATCAAAACCATTGAATGATAAGGTGTGTCCAAACTTTTGACTGGTAGGGTTTATAGACATCGATTATTCATTTCTTCTCTAAATGATTTCCCCAACAGGTACCAAGTGGGGTCTCGGTGGTACGTGTGTTAATGTCGGCTGCATTCCTAAGAAGCTCATGCACCAGGCTGCTCTCCTCGGCACAGCGGTGAAGGATGCTCAGAAGTACGGCTGGCAGATCTCAGGGCCAATCTGCCACGACTGGTAGGTCAATCCAAACTCTCACCATTAGATTTTCTTGTTTTAATCAGTCAAAACAGGCGGATTCGTGCCAAAGAGTAGCCCAACAGCTCCATCTAGTGGTGACAATGTAGAAATGCAAGGATGCTAATTGTGGTTGGATTATTTTATTGTTTGCTTTTGGTAGGTCAATCCAAACTCTCCCCATATATGTATTCATCTTAATCAGTCTATGAGTAGCCCAACAGCACCATCTAGTGGAGACAATGAAGAAGGAAAAGGATGCTGATTGTGTTTGGAAAATATATATTTTTAATGGCAATGGGATCGATTTGCTTGTTTTATTTGAATTTGACTCTATGCTTGACCTTATCCCCAAAAAATGTATTACGTAGGAATCCTGAACAATTTCGAAAAGTATATACATTTAAAAATTCAAAGCTGTGAGTGATGTGAACACTGCTTTAATTTCTCTTAAGGGCAAAATAATCCACAAAAATTTTACTTTGTCATATTTGAATAATGGATGTTTGCTCAATATTTCCAATTTCATTCATTCATTAACCTCTGGTGTGTTCTCAGGGCCTCCATGGCAGACGCTGTTCAAAACCACGTGAGGTCTCTGAACTGGGGTCACAGAGTTCAGCTCCAGGACAAGTAGGTGACACCAGCTCTGAGCGCCTTGTTCAAATGTATTTCAATTATGATGATAAAGTTTACAATTCTTTTTTTTGCAATAATGTTGCAAGAAACAGGCCATTAAGGAGTTTCAGTGGAAGCTTTGTGTCCCATATTTACAGCCCACTGTAGCAATGTTCGCTTATTTCTCCATAATGACATTTCTTAAAACCCTAATTTCCACCAAGCATTGGAATATTTCTATCTATAACTTGTTGCTTAGATGTCTGAAACCAAATGTTGCTGAAGGCTGTACGTTTCTGCTGGCACACACACACACACACACACACACACCTGTTTGCCCTGCAGCCAGCCTCTCAATCAACAACACTCCCTCAGGTGTGTGTGTGTGTGTGTGTGTGTGTGTGTGTGTGTGTGTGTGTGTGTGTGTGTGTGTGTGTGTGTGTGTGTGTGTGTGTGTGTGTGTGTGTGTGTGTGTGTGTGTGTGTGTGGTGTGTGTGTGTGTGTGTGTGTGTGTGTGTGTGTGTGTGTGTGTGTGTGATGTGTGTGTGTGTGTGTGTGTGTGTGTGTGTGTGTGTGTGTGTGTGTGTGTGTGTGTGTGTGTGTGTGTGTGTGTGTGTGTGTGTGTGTGTGTGTGTGTGTGTGTGTGTGTGTGTGTGTGTGTGTGTGTGTGTGTGTGTGTGTGTGTGTGTGTGTGTGTGTGTGTGTGTGTGTGTGTGTGTGTGTGTGTGTGTGTGTGTGTGTGTGTGTGTGTGTGTGTGTGTTACAGGACCAGTGTGCTCAACATTAAAATACAAATACTTAGAAAGTGGAAAAGAGCAATTACAATAAAATCTAAAGTAGTATATCAAATATTAACAAAATACAATATGTTGAATAAATATGTTGTAAATTATTGTTGATAAATACGTTTGATTTTCCTGCAAGAAAAAGAGCTCGAGTGATGCTGTTTTAACATGTAGCACACATTATTAAAAATAGCAATTGTGGGTTAAAAGATAATTGTGACAAAGGGAAACTTGAGTTGTACAAATGAAACCAGATGTTACTGTGATGCATTACCAGGATTAACATGCGGCCTATTGGGTCTGACAGGAAGGTGAAGTATCTGAACCTCAGAGGGAGTCTGCTGGATGAACACACCGTTAGAGGACTGACTAAAGCTGGGAAAGAGGTGAGCTGCTCACACATTCAGTCAGTTCCCAACCAAAACATACACAAGTACGTGTTGGTGTTGCATCTTACGGTTTGCGTACATAATCACCGATTCCTAACCCAAGTGTCATTTTGCTTCCTCACTTACATTTGCAGCATTTAAATGGTGTTGCCGTTTGTTTCAGTGATTTCAAAGAGTTTCCATCATCGCCTGAATGCAGAATACTGTGGAGACCACTTCCTTTTGACGTTTCCTTGTTTTTTGAAGGATACGAACAAAAGCTATGACTTTGCGTTTCCCTCCTCTCACACAGACCCTCCTGACGGCCAAGAACATCGTGATCGCCACAGGAGGACGGCCCAAATACCCCACAGATGTACGTTACATTACCCCCAACATGTTGCTCCTTTTCTCTGTCGGCATGTGTTGCATTGATTTATCGGTTACCAGGAAGACGAAACAAATGAAAAGTCAAAATGTGGTGTGGACGCAAACAAGCCGTAACACATAAGATAGCTGCCTTCTTTTGTTGCACTTTGATAGGTCTGTCGATAGTTGTGCTCACAGTAGGGCTGCACGATATTGGTAACAAACTGACATTGCGATTTTCCTCCCCCCCGCAATATGAAAAAATACAGGAATTGAAGAAAAGACGGGTTTTTTTGTCCGCAAACCATCCTTTCTTGAACTTGAATGCTACACAATTGGTATTTGTTTAACGATATTTAACCGGATGACGGATTTTAGTCACGGACTTCTGGATCTTAAGTTCTCAGAGCCACAAGCTGAGCTAGCTCGGTTATCCTGCTGTGATCAAGAACGGTTGTGATTGGTGGTTTGCTGTGCAAGAGCCGGCATGTCACTCACTCAAGCACCCTGACATGAGAGCCGCGCGACTTTTCCTTTTGTAGCAAGCAAAATAATTGTAACATGACGTGTTTGAGTTGATTTGCCTACTTAATATCGCACGTCCTAACAACGTTTTTTTTTTAATATCGCGCATTGGGCATTGTCGTCACAACACGATATATAGTGCAGCTCTAGCTCACATCGTTAACTCTTGCTACAGATCCCAGGAGCGATGGAGCACGGCATGACCAGTGACGACATCTTCTGGATGAAAACATCGCCCGGGAAAACGTGAGTACCCCCTCCACCTACTAACAGTGTCACAAATGTGTGGAGAAGAGCTAATATGTGTAAAAGAACATCTCAAAAGGCATCGAGAAATCACAGCACAAACATCCCCCCTTTCAGATTTCAGATTGTGTTATTGTTTAACAAAATAAGGCCTTTTCATTCGCTCATGGTGGACAGAGTTTGTGATTACTGTATGGATTTAATTCGGACTCATTTCACATATAAACTCGCAACTTAATGCTAGATGTTCCAGGTGCAGACACATTTTGTACTAAAGGGGCAGAAATTAGCCCCAAATATTAGTTTTGAATATCCTCCTACTGTAAAGATTACATACAAACATGCAGTCAGATTAAATGAATTGTTGTAGTGACCACTGATTAACCTTCGATGCACCGCCTCCGACTCCTATCTCTCGGCATCTCAGTGTGTCCGGCACGCAGTGTCTGTCATTATTTAGATATTTCAACTTCATATTTATCCATGCTGCTAAATAGTTTTGAATTGTATTCTATTTTAGTTTTATCTTCACAAGCATCCAAATGATGTGTAAATATGTATGTTTGCAATCATACTGTGTCATGTCATCAATCCACTCACATTCGAACATAACATTTGGGCATCTGCCACAATTGTTATGTTTCACCCCGGAGGGAATGCGTGGTAGAGTGTCAAGGATTCGCATTGTTCTTTACACAATGAGCTCCAAGAGAAGCATCGACCCTGTGCTTCATTAACGCTTCTCTAACTCACCTCTCTGACTCGTCCCTCTGTCACGCACTGCAATCATTCATCGGTGACATGGAGTTGTTTCTCCTCCCTTCCTGTCAGCCTGTCTTCGCCTCATGATTCAGATTAGCGGCGTGCATCCTGGCCTTTACAGAACAAGCCCTTTAATCCAGCCATTTAGTCGCTGTCAGCGCCTGCTTAATTGCTCTTTCCCTGACGCTTCCTCTTAGCTCGGCGCTCAGACGGTGACTCGCGGTGTTGGTGTACCTGCGCTGCGGTCGGTGTTTGCCTCGCGGTGACAGATGAGCGGAATTAATTATTTCGATATTTCAACTTCATATGTATCCATGCTGTGTACACCTGGGGCAGATAACACAAGCATCCACATGTAAATAGGTATGTTCGCAATCAATCCACTCACATTTGAATCTAACATTTCACTTTTCGGACCCTTTTAAGAATCACCTTTGTACACTAAGTTGGCAATGAGTCTTCTCCTAATCATCGATCCGTATATTAAGGTGTTCATATATTTAAAGTCATGGAGAAAACCAGGTCAGCAGCTATTTTGATATCCTCTGATTTTAATTATATTCTTTTTTTTTATGCAAATATGTATTATTTTGGCTGATAAGTGCTTGTGTTAAATGTATTTGGCAAGCAGCACTAAATGTTTCTCAATTCCCTTTCATCATTTCAAATAGGCCCTTTTGGGGGGTTCTCCCTTTCTTGTAGTGCGTTGTATAGGTGTTTGTGCATGTAAAGGCCAAAATTGTACGTGATAGGCTGAGGGGCGGGACATCTCTAAGTGTTGACCAATCACAACAGAGCCGGCCAGCTAACCAATCAGAGCGGACTGGGCTCTGGTTTCAGACAGAGGGTGAAAAGAGGTGCTGCAGCACAGGCAGTATGAGAAGAATAAAGAGCTTTTTGAACATTAAAGCATGGAGACATGTAGAGACACTACATACTGATATACACCTGAACATCAGCAGGAGAGGACTCTTTAAAGTAGAGACACTAAATACTGATATACACCTGAACATCAGCAGGAGAGGACTCTTTAAAGTAGAGACACTACATACTGATATACACCTGCACATCAGCAGGAGAGGACTCTTTAAAGTAGAGACACTACATACTGATATACACCTGGACATCAGCAGGAGAGGACTCTTTAAAGTAGAGACACTACATACTGATATACACCTGCACATCAGCAGGAGAGGACTCTTTAAAGTAGAGACACTACATACTGATATACACCTGAACATCAGCAGGAGAGCACTCTTTAAAGTAGAGACACTACATACTGATATACACCTGAACATCAGCAGGAGAGGACTCTTTAAAGTAGAGACACTACATACTGATATACACCTGAACATCAGCAGGAGAGGACTCTTTAAAGTAGAGACACTACATACTGATATACACCTGAACATCAGCAGGAGAGGACTCTTTAAAGCAGAGACACTACATACTGATATACACCTGAACATCAGCAGGAGAGGACTCTTTAAAGTAGAGACACTACATACTGATATACACCTGAACATCAGCAGGAGAGCACTCTTTAAAGTAGAGACACTACATACTGATATACACCTGAACGTCAGCAGGAGAGGACTCTTTAAAGTAGAGACACTACATACTGATATACACCTGAACATCAGCAGGAGAGGACTCTTTAAAGTAGAGGCACTACATACTGATATACACCTGAACATCAGCAGGAGAGGACTCTTTAAAGTAGAGACACTAAATACTGATATACACCTGAACATCAGCAGGAGAGGACTCTTTAAAGTAGAGACACTACATACTGATATACACCTGAACACCAGCAGGAGAGGACTCTTTAAAGTAGAACACTACATACTGATATACACCTGGACATCAGCAGGAGAGCACTCTTTAAAGTAGAGACACTACATACTGATATACACCTGAACATCAGCAGGAGAGGACTCTTTAAAGTAGAGACACTACATACTGATATACACCTGAACATCAGCAGGAGAGGACTCTTTAAAGTAGAGACACTACATACTGATATACACCTGAACATCAGCAGGAGAGGACTCTTTAAAGTAGAGACACTACATACTGATATACACCTGAACATCAGCAGGAGAGGACTCTTTAAAGTAGAGACACTACATACTGATATACACCTGAACATCAGCAGGAGAGGACTCTTTAAAGTAGAGACACTACATACTGATATACACCTGAACATCAGCAGGAGAGCACTCTTTAAAGTAGAGACACTACATACTGATATACACCTGAACATCAGCAGGAGAGGACTCTTTAAAGTAGAGACACTACATACTGATATACACCTGAACATCAGCAGGAGAGGACTCTTTAAAGTAGAGACACTACATACTGATATACACCTGAACATCAGCAGGAGAGGACTCTTTAAAGTAGAGACACTACATACTGATATACACCTGAACATCAGCAGGAGAGCACTCTTTAAAGTAGAGACACTACATACTGATATACACCTGAACATCAGCAGGAGAGGACTCTTTAAAGTAGAGACACTAAATACTGATATACACCTGAACATCAGCAGGAGAGGACTCTTTAAAGTAGAGACACTACATACTGATATACACCTGGACATCAGCAGGAGAGGACTCTTTAAAGTAGAGACACTACATACTGATATACACCTGAACATCAGGCAGGAGAGGACTCTTTAAAGTAGAGACACTACATACTGATATACACCTGAACATCAGCAGGAGAGGACTCTTTAAAGTAGAGACACTACATACTGATATACACCTGAACATCAGCAGGAGAGGACTCTTTAAAGTAGAGACACTACATACTGATATACACCTGAACATCAGCAGGAGAGGACTCTTTAAAGTAGAGACACTACATACTGATATACACCTGGACTTCAGCAGGAGAGGACTCTTTAAAGTAGATACACTACATACTGATATGAACCTGAACATCAGCAGGAGAGGACTCTTTAAAGTAGAGACACTACATACTGAAATACACCTGGACATCAGCAGGAGAGGACTCTTTAAAGTAGAGACACTACATACTGATATACACCTGAACATCAGCAGGAGAGGACTCTTTAAAGTAGAGACACTACATACTGATATACACCTGAACATCAGCAGGAGAGGACTCTTTAAAGTAGAGACACTACATACTGATATACACCTGAACATCAGCAGGAGAGGACTCTTTAAAGTAGAGCCACTACATACTGATATACACCTGAACATCAGCAGGAGAGGACTCTTTAAAGTAGATACACTACATACTGATATACACCTGATCATCAGCAGGAGAGGACTCTTTAAAGTAGATACACTACATACTGATATACACCTAAACATCAGCAGGAGAGGACTCTTTAAAGTAGAGGCACTACATACTGATATACACCTGAACATCAGCAGGAGAGGACTCTTTAAAGTAGAGACACTACATACTGATATACACCTGAACATCAGCAGGAGAGGACTCTTTAAAGTAGAGACACTACATACTGATATACACCTGAACATCAGCAGGAGAGGACTCTTTAAAGTAGAGATATATATATAATATATGTATAGTAATAGGTGTGCTATTTAGCTTTCCCCCACTTGGTGGCAATACAAAATCATCCTCAAACAATTACCACCTCACCCTTCACCCGCTCAGCAAAACATCCTTGTATAGGAAGCAGAATGATCCATGAGAGGGACCACTTGAGCTCAGGAAGCTCTTTGATGTGAGTGTGTGATGCTTAGTGGAGTCCTCAGGACCCCCCCCCCCGCAGGCTGTGAGGGGTCCGCTGTGGGTTAGCATTAGCTTTAGCTTCCTCTGTCAGGGTGATTAACCACACAGAGCTGGAGGAGATGTTGTGATGCCGAGCTGTCAGCTGTGCAGGTGAAGTCCAGGAGGCTGTTTCTGTGGGGGGGGGGGGGCAGGCGAGTGACGGGTGTTTTAATGGGTCTTGGAACACCTGAGTGACAGATTTGGCCCCGAGGATCCAAAGCCTGGAGCTGGTAATCAGGGGAAAGCAGCGAGCGCGTGCCAGCAGGACGGTGGTTCCCGGAGTGAGGATGGGCCGGTACTCGCAGGAATTGTTATGTGAGGAGGGTCCGACTCTGCGCGGGACAAGGACCACACTTCCCGGGGAAAATCTTTCAGCAGTTTATTGCAAAGCAACACAGATGGCTGCAGCATAACTTCCCAGCTATTGTCGAGAAAGAAAACAAGGTCATACATGCACGCGTGTGCCTGTGGAATACCATGAATGCTGTACAAAGAAAAAGTCCCACGCTGGCCAACAGGAAATAAACATAAAGGGGACATTTAAGTGAACTCATTCCATTTTCATCGCGCTCTAACAGTTACATGTTCAATCATACAAAAATAATGGAGATAAAGTGGTGGAATGTTACAAAGTACATTTACTTAAGGATCAAATAAAGTACTATTTGTTCATACTTTACTTGAGTATTTTCGTTTTATGCTACCGTACATAAGTAATGACATTTTTACTCTACTACATTTATATAACACTAACAGTTACTTTGTATATATAAAAACAAATGATGTCGTACTGTAATTTTTGATATACCCAATATTTAAAAAAAAAAATCTAAAATCTGCTCAACATGGAAAAACTACCACATTAAAATGATTTGAAATATATTTACCTCTGATAAAAACTGAATAACAATAATCTAAAGAAAGAACCAATTTGCATACTGTGTACATTTGACTGATAATACTTTTGTACGTCTACTACGGAAGGATTTTCCCTTGTAATGTAGTGTTTCAAGCCCATAGTTATTCTACTTGTACTCGAGTAAAACCTGAGTGCTTTTCCATCACTGGACATATGAAATGGGACGAACTGATAAGCTCTCCGGACCTTCAGATAGTGTCCCAGACGCTAAACACAAAATATTTACAATGTATCTTACTAGCACATTTCTCTCTCAGTTGTAGGTGCCAATATCTAAACCCTCTTTGTTCCCTTTTCATGCTGCTCTGGCAAAACTAAAACCAGTAACAGGGAGATAAATGTGTGTGGCTCATGGGACGGCCGGCAGACTGGAAGAAACATTAGATCAAAGTTTCTCAGTTGGACTCACATCAAGCTTTTTGCTACACAACCACAGGAGGATCCACATGTCGTGTTATCAGTGTTTGGGCTTCTGAAGAGCTTCCCAAGGTTAACAGGCTGCCACACACACTCGATACGAACCTCCTCCTCCTCCTCCTCCTCCTCCTCCTCCTCCTCCTCCTCCTCCTCCTCCTCCTCTTCCTCTTCCTCCTCAGGAGCTGTGGGTTCAATGAGGTCTTAGTTAAGCTCCCAAGAACAGGAGCCTAAAAGAGTTTTTGAAATGTTTCCTTCTTCTGTGGCTCATTGGTCAATGTGTAAGATGGGAGTCCAGTACTGTATGAAAGATTACAACTGCACTAAGAAACTTTAATAACAATTACTTTTCTGTCATATTTGCTGAAACTCTCACTGTATCCTGACTGTAGTGCATAAGACAGAACATCTGTAAAAAAAAGAACAGTACATATTTAACTGTGCTGTTAAGCTGTAAAATAAAATAGTAGTGATCCAGAACGTCGAAAAATAAAAAGACAATGCAGTAACTGGGCCCCTTTTTTTTAAAGAGGGCCCACTCTGCTCTTATCGGCTTGCTAAACAATATCAGTAATATATATGTGGGAGGCTGTGGCTGAGTGGAGAGTGTGCTGGACTTCGAATCAGGGGATAGCAAGTTTGAGTCCCACTGCAGTCAGCATGTCGTTCTGTCCCTGGGAAAGACACTTCACCCCAAATCAATCAATCAATCAATGTTTATTTATACAGCCCAATATCACAAATGTTACATTTGTCTCAGTGGACTTCACAGTGTGTACAGAATATCAGTATGACAATACGACACCCTCTATCCTTAGACCCTCACATCGTACAAGGAAACACTTCCAGAGAAAACCCACAGTTTAAAGGGGACATGGGAGAAACCTCAGGGAGAGCAACAGAGGAGGGATCCCTCTCCCAGGACGGACAGACGTGCAATAGATGCCGTGTGTAAATTGAAAAGATAATACATTTGCAACATAGGTAGACCAAATGCATGTGTGTATAATAGGAAGGTGAATCCACGAGGATATCCATCCAGGACCTATGATCCAGGACCACAGCCACGACTCAAGATCCAGGGCTCAAATGTCTCCTGTGGGGATTGCCCACAGTACTGAATGTATGTTAGTCGCTTTGGATAAAAGCGTCTAACAAATGACATGTAATATATCATCTGTATCATGTACTACTCTCAAGATATGGTGACAGTTTCAGCAAACATTGCTTTGTTTATTAATTAATGTTACCAACTGTAACTGCAAACCAACAACAACAAAAAAATACAAAATAGAGGGTTAATAAGTGAATCTTTCTTTCATCGAAAGTTACATGTCTTCATCAGAAACTACAGAATTGGTTATTACATTTGTTTTCAAAGTAGTGCAGTGTATATGTTTGAGTGTCCCATAGGTGGCCTTAAGTATCAGTTTTTTCATGAACCGTCTGCCCCCCAAATGTCCCCATTGTTAGCCGGGGTCAGAGGGGTCGTAAAGGATCCATAGCGTCTTCTTTTAGATGTCGAATGCAGCAGCTGTACAGACTGTATGTTCGTACAATGACACAGAGGGATATCTGAGGGAAAGGAGACGGTGATGAAAGTTTAGCATCAAGCTAAAGCTCTTTGACTAATCTTCCTTAAGCCTCAACACAATACGTGCTAAGTGCAGCTGTGCATTACACCGTCGCAGAGAAAACGGGCAGCGGGCTTTTAGTGGTTTGTGTTAGCATGGAGGATGTCAAGATGTCAGGAGGGAGATCTGGGGGGAGACGGACATCACTCAGCCGAGGACGTGTGGCCCTGAGCCCTGAACATCTGCAGGGATTAGCCTAAACGGTGGCAATTAGCCTCCTCAACACTGCTCATCTCAGGGCTGCATTAGAAGTGTGATTCACCTGGACCACACACACACACACACACACACACACACACACACTTCACTAACGCTGAGTTATTTTAAGTCGAGGCTAAAAACACTACTTTTTTCAGCTGCTTACCCAGAAGTCTTTTAACTTGTTTTAGCACCTACTGTATTTACAATGTTGTTTTTCAACTATTCTGTATCTCTTTTATGCATCTGTTATTCCATGATGTGTATTTATTGTGTTGCTTTCTGTTGTCTTAAGTGTTACTGATGAGGTAAAGCACTTTGAATTCCTCTGTGTCTGAACATGTGCGATATAAATAAACGTACCTTACACACATACACACACCTCTTACTGTCCCCTGTTTCTTCACACGTCCTCACTTCCCTCTAAGGTTATGACATTTGAATATTCCTCACCTCTCGAACTTAAAAGCCAACATTTTCAACTTTGGACGTGCTGTATTTGATTTGGCCGAAGTGTGCTGCACAAATGATATATTATCTGTGTGGCTAACGGCTTGTCTTAATCTGTTTTGCAGGCTTGTGGTTGGAGCTAGCTGTATCCTTTGTCTGCCAGAGAGCTTGTAAAATCGGTAGAGAAACAGTAAAGTTATGAACTTAATAAAAATGTAATCAATAGACCAGTATTTCTGAATAACCCTTAGCACTTGTTTTATCTCAAATCTGAAGTTTACACTAAAAGCATTCAGTCAGAGATACTTTATGGCCACTTGGTAAGCAAAAATTAACAAATCTAATTGAACCATTATCATGTTTTATTTACGCCTTCGTATTCTTTATGAGCTACTTTCTGTCTTTTTATTGTAGGCTAACATCAGGTGCTTTTGTATATATGCAATCTTCGAGTATTCCTGAACCTTCTGTTGCTCAGATGTGGCTCTGGAGTGTGCCGGCTTCCTCACAGGCATTGGATTGGACGCCACAGTGATGGTCCGCAGTATCGCCCTCCGGGGGTTTGATCAGGTATTGCTCCCTGAACTACAGTTTCAAGATTCAAAGGTCATATGCACAAAGCTACAGTGTAGGAATGGCAATGAAATTCAGTAAAGACTCTGTAAACTGGGTTAAAAGCACACACAGTTGATCTCTTTAGGAATTAAGACTCTTTTTGTTTGTGACGACATCCGGGAAAAAGATTTTGGATGGAGGATGTTGTTGGTCTAAATGCAGTGGAGTTGTTTTACTAAGCTTTTTGCCGCCTACAGAGCAGCAACACCTCAAATTCGATTCTACGGTTTTATTATCATTTGCACATAAGCTACAGTGTAGAAATGGCAATTAAATTCTTCTGACCTGAGCTCGTCCAACAATGCAACATATATAATAAAATAAAAACTAAGAAGTAGTGTAACAAGTCTACATACATGTCAATAGAATATAGGATATGTACAAGAACGGAATATGACATTAAATAATGTAAATGAAGACAGTCTGCATATTCTACATCCTAACAGTGATTTCTGAGGTTTTTAAATTGAATGTTTTCTTCTGGTTTCTGCAGCAAATGGCAGGTCTAGTGACGGACTACATGGAAGCATATGGGACCAAGTTTGTGAAGGAGTGTGTCCCTAAGAGAGTGGACAAGCTGTCCTCAGGAGCTCTGCAGGTGACCTGGACCGACACCCTCACGGGCAGCGAACACAAGGACACCTACGACTCTGTGCTGTGGGCAGTTGGTGAGTGTGTGTGTGTGTGCCTGATTCCAGTTGGTGATATGTAAGAATGAAATATTTAAATGTGATGCTTAAGAGTTTATCAGGTTTGATTATAGGAGAAAGCTGAAGTGGTATAGGATCATTGTGTTGCTTACTGGCACTAGACTTCAGAATCACAATCAGAATGAGGTTTATGGCCAAGTAGGTTTTCACTTATAATGAATTTAGCTTGGTGTTTTGGAGCTAAACATATTAAGAGAACAATCAAATACAGGCAAATAAGAAAATGTATTGAACAGACAGTGTCAGGCATTTCTTCAATGCAATACCAACATAGCTTTTAATGAAAATTGTTGTTCAAGACTTTAACTTGAATGAGCTTTTTCCATGCGGTTTGAGCTTTCATCCACACCAGATGGAGCTTTTGGGAAACTCCAGCTAGGGTGAAGATGTTTAGCTTGTAACTTCAGAGTGTTACACAGTTATATGGTTCTGTGAGGCATCACAAATTCTGCATTTGGGGAACTACAACATGAACAAAAACATTTACCTGTGCATGTGTAGACTAGGCCTTTTGGCTTGTCTCTACCAAATAGAGACATGACTCTGACCTGAGACTGGATTTGGACTATCCGACAGATACTTGAGTGTGATTAATTAATCCGGCACATTTATTTTTATTATGACGTTTTTTGTTTACAAGACAAGGTGTTCAAACGACTGAACTGATGTAAACGTCTGTAGTGAAGGTGACCTGATGGAGTACAACAAGGGACTCCTTAACCCCAGTTTGTAATACCTCTTCTGGTATATCATGTGAAACACCAGCCATATTGTTTCCTATATCTCCCTGAAATATAAACAGCGGTGTGCCAGTACTCCCTGCCACCATCAATTTCACTGTCATCCTCAATAGAGTGCGGTTTCAGCAGATAGCAGTGGAATCAAAACAAAGTAATAAAGCCTGAGTGATGGGCCTGGCCGGGGGAAGTGTTAATCACCCAGCGTGGCTCTCTGGTTGGGGGGCAGGATGCACCCAGGCACAGGGTCACCGCGTCCCCCTCTTTGTTCTCCCTCTCTGGGCCTTCCTGCCTGTGCCAGCCCTGCGGAAACCAACCCTGCATCTGTCACTGCCATCCCTGCCCGCGGCCCTCCATAACCACCAGCCCTCCTCATCCTCATCCTCCTCTATCTCATCCTTATTCTCTTTCCCCGTCTCCCTTTCCACCAGCAGTAACAATGGAGGGAACTTCTGTTAGGGACACTGGAGCTTTTAGAGGTCACCTATTATGCAAAATCCACTCTTCCATGTCTCTTCTACATCACCATGTGTCCCCTCTTCTTCATGTCTCTTCTACATCAACATGTGTCGTCTCTTCTTCATGTCTCTTCTACATCAACATGTGTCCCCTCTTCTTCATGTCTCTTCTACATCAACATATGTCCCCTCTTCTTCATGTCTCTTCTACATCACCATGTGTCCCCTCTTCTTCATGTCTCTTCTACATCACCATGTGTCCCCTCTTCTTCATGTCTCTTCTACATCAACATGTGTCCCCTCTTCTTCATGTCTCTTCTACATCAACATGTGTCCCCTCTTCTTCATGTCTCTTCTACATCAACATATGTCCCCTCTTCTTCATGTCTCTTCTACATCAACATGTGTCCCCTCTTCTTCATGTCTCTTCTACATCAACATGTGTCCCCTCTGTGTAAAGAGACTCTGAAAGTTTCAGGAACAAAGATTCTCTCTCTTTTTGTCCTGATCCATTTCTATAAAAACCTGTCTGAAAATGAGCTGATCAAATTTTGGCCACTTTGTGATGTCATAATAATTTTTTGGCTTTTGTAACCATTAGCCAATCACCAACCAAGGTAACCCCCCCCCCCCCCCCCCCCCCCCCCCCCCCCCCACCACCACCTTATCACCTGAATCTCCTCCTAGAGCACCATTGTGTTCTTTTTAACCAAATATCTCTCAGAGGGGCGTGGGGAGGGGCTCCTTATTTTCATCTAAAGCAGGGGTGGGGAACCTCCGGCCCCCGGGCCGTATACGGACCGCGAGACCATTTGGTACGGCCCTCGAGGTAATTTATAAACACCCGCAAAAAAGAAAAAAATTAAAGAAATCTCGACCGCAAAATAATTAAACAAGCGAGTGCCTGTTTTTCCTGGCCAAGGTCAGGGTCCTTGAACACAACACGAGCCTTTACGTGTCATCACGTGGAATAAGAGAATAAAATAAACAGGTATAAAATATGACAGTAAAAAAAAGTTGTTATTAATAAACAAGAATACAGTTTGAAAGGGGAGTGATTTGTAAAATATCCAAAAAGAAAATCTGCTTACAGTTCTGTTTGATATGGGTGTTGAGAGATGTTTCCATAGATCTCCTAATGTTGCTCTCAAAGTGCACCAGATTGATGCTCTGCAACATTTAAAAAAAAAAAATCTTCCCGGGGGAGCATGCTGCCCGGACCCCCCTAGAGGAGGTTAGGTCCCCCCCCCTACTTAAATCATGTCCACATGGATAGGAAACTAAACACATTTGCACACATCTTGTGTCCATATCTTTCTGTTTTGAAGGTCACGCCACACTGTGCACGTGCATGCGCGAGTCATGGATATCTGGATTAAGAGGTTGCTTTTTCTTTGCACAACATGAAAGAAAGGCCAAATGAATCATTTGTACGGCCCTCGGAGGATGTTGTAAAAATTGAAATGCCCCTTGAGAGGAAAAAGGTTCCCCACCCCTGATCTAAAGTAACAGACAGAGAATCAGCACTTTAAAAACAGGGCTGAAACAGAGGGGATTATGGGATGCTGCAATGATCTGTTTGGTGTTTCAGCCAATCAGAGACAGGCTCTGTATATATCTATATTAAAGAGAGTGCAGTGCTTCTGAAAATCTGACTACAAGGCCTTTCCAGGGCACATACTGTCACTTTGAGTGTTGTGGGGAGGGGGGTAGGAGGGATGAGGGTATTTTATCTCTTGCTCTATGTGCGTGTGACAGCGACAAGGATGTGTGTGACCCTGCAGGAGGAATGACGTTCTTCCCTCCCGTAGCTCAATTCCCACATGGTCTCAGCGTGAGAGTGCAGCTGAGAGTGATATGAGAGCATGTGTCAGAAGGTGCTCTGATGTTTCCTATCTTTAGAGCAACTCAACAAAGAACTTGACATTTTGTTCCTGGCAAACTAGTTTTGATTTCAATCAATAGTGAACCACACAAACAACCAAAACCTAACTCTTTTTGACTGACATGACACTGACTCATTTCTTTGTAGTTTAAACAAAATAAAGAGGCATGTCCTTATAGTCTGAATTCTTAAAGTAAGCCCTAAATCCAAAAGCATTTTTTATATGAATAAAAAAAGGTCATTAAGAATTACAAAAAAAAAATCTACCAAAATAATAATTAATAAAAAATGAAATTCAAATATAATGATAATATTACGGGGGATAATCATTAACATAAAAAATATATAAAATGCAGCCATTATTAATATATGTATTATTATGAATCATTATTAGTTTGTCCCATAGTATCATCAGTTTAATCACCACAACTTTAAATTCAAAACTGTCGCAAATTAAGTCATAACTCATACACAAATACCCTTATATCAGTGTATTCGAGCCCCCTTTTGTTCCCATACAGTCAGAGAGAAGCAGTAACTCCTGCTCTTTGATGTAAGCGAGCAGGAGTTATGAGACCAAGGCCACTTCCCTTTACTGTGACCTTACACTAGGGGCCAGGCGGGGTCTCGGGCCCCTGTGGAGTTATTAAAGGCCAGAGGGGACCGGGGACAGTATCACCGCTGCCTGCTACATCCTTCTTTCAGACCCTGCCTCCCTCCACCTTTCCCCTGCTCCTTCCTGGCCTCACTGGGTGCACGTTCAAGGTCTTTGTCTGATTTTGTGTCCGAGGATGTATTTGTATTATTCTCACTTCTTTTTTTCAAATGATGCAATCTGCTCTTTGACTTTTTACTAGCCTGTACATAATAACAATAACAATACACATTTCACAAAGTGCTTCACAAGTAGGAACAAAAGTTAAAATGAGACCACAGAAACATGAATACAATAACCACGAGGCAGAAATGTACGGTCAACATAAAAACAAAACACAGACCACGTGGAGTCCTGAAAGGAACAAACGTAATAACAGAACACATCACACAAGTAGAAATAAAAGCCAATGTAAAAAGATAGGTCTTCAGTCGTTTTTTAAAAGCTTCTACAGAGACTGCAGAGCGGATAGGGAGAGAGTTCCACCTGAAAGGCACGGTCACCGTTCATGTGCCTGAGCTGCCTCCATCTCCATGTTTTAAACTGATACAGAATCTGTTAGGAAAAAAATACCACTCGTCACCGGCTTGAGCTTCAATATCAGGAAACATGTATCTATTATCCTTGCAAGAATGGAAGTAGTCATCACATACAGAGCTGCATGGGACACATAGTTCCCCGAATATTGTCCTTAGCCGATTTCACACCAAGTACTTTGCCGTATTTAGTTCCCAGCACTTAGTACCCCCAGAGAGCCGATCGCGTTCACACCGGAATAAATTATCTGAGGGAAGATTACGCAAATGAAGCCGCTGACGTCACTTCTTCTTCTTCTGCTTTGGGATTACTGGCAGGCCGCAAACCACTTCACGGCGTATACTGCCACCCGAAGTCCCGGAGTTGGGGAGTTGGACTCCCAGCTGCTTCTACTGAAGCCTTCCGAGTAAATCGCCAGAACGCCGACACCTCCTCATCTCCACCGCTCCCATGTTTTTTTTGTGTTGCCATAAGTTAGTCTCTCTCCGTTGGTGCGTGGGGCTAATGCTAATAATGCTAATGCCAGCAAATACAATGGCGGCTTCAAAAAACTTTTCAGAGTTTTACGGGGCGTGGTTTGCAATTTGCCCAGCCAATCAGAAATTGGTACTTTTCTCCCCAGGATAGTCCCACCTCTCTAGCAGGCACTAACAATGGGGGTAAAAGTTCTCTGAACTAAATTCTCT